ATTCTTTTCCCCCAGACTTTATACCGTTTACCCAATCCCAGACAATGCACTGAAAGGTGGTTTATGATCAGGGTTACTCATAATAGCAAGTGAATAAGGCGAAATATTTTAATTTTTTTAACTTTGTAATAGAATATTTACAATCTGTAACATAAGTACAATAAGCATATAGGATTTATTTTTTTTACTAAAATGGTGCCCGTTTCTAATTTCTAGCCTAATTTACAAACCATTGATTTGAAATCTACTCTAATAAGTTTATCACCCAAACCAATAACGACACTTAATATAGAATTTACTTCCTATTAATATTTTATTTTAACAAAATATTAAAAAATTATTATTTTTTAAATCTTACTRGCTTGTTGTGCAAATAATGGCATTTGAACATTAGCAACAGATGTCTGTACCACTTGTGATCCATCCTGTAATGTCATCATTCCAGTTTGTGCGGCAACTTGAACAGTCTGATATTGAGGCGCTGCAAATATAAAAAAGATTTTTAATCAAACATTTAAAACATAAAAGTGTATATTTACTTGGATTCATTTGTGGTATTTGACCATTATTGGTTTGAATAGTTTGTTGATGGATTACTTGTGGTTGTTGAATATGTACATTTGATGGTTGGTGGGCAACATTTGGTGGTGGTGGTGCTACATGATTAGATGCGTATGTAGCACTATATTCATTTTGAATAGTTTCGATTAAATTGAAAGCTAATTGTCTACCATTTTGCAGTACTTCATTTTTTGCATGTCTACAATGGAAAGGTATATCATTAGTTTAATTATATTGCTACACAAGTCAGTAAATTATTAGTTGAAACTAAAATTTAAATTACTCGACACATAGATGTAAAGGTTCAACTGATTCTTGTCCATTAGCTTCAATGAATCCAGAACCTCGTCCTCGCATGGTTACTACTGCCCCCGTTTCATTCATTATATAATGAAGATTAGCTCCATTTAAACCTAATATTTTATTTCTGAGGTCAAAAGCTGGCGGCGCATGGTCTAAGCCAATTAAGACTTTTTCCTAATAATTAATATTATAATTTTCCTTACTAATTTTGATATTAGAATAATATAGAGCTAAACAAAATGTTTCACTTACAATTCCTGCCCCATTAATCAAAGGGCCAGATGTCAAATTTGGATGCTTAGACATATCTTTGTCCCGTTGAATRAGTGATTGAATTTTTTGAATAGCAACTGAAGGTTGAATAAAAAATTATTTTTTTTACAAACTGAATAAAATAAGTCTATCATAGTTAATGATTTAATATGCTCACGGTCTAAATTTTGTTTTTTTGGTCCTTTAATGAGTAAATGCAATGATCGCTCAGATGACGCTTGATTTTTTTCTTTAGGAGTCAAGTACCGTCCTCTAGTAACGATGACCGTACCTGCATGATAACAATTGTTTAAATTAAGACATTATATCTTAAAATAATTTTGCAATATATAATGATCAGTATCAAGACTAATAATTTTCATAATGGCAGTTGAAAAATAAATATCAAGCAGTCGCAAATAGGCTTGCGGTGAAGTGGTGAGATTTYGGTAGACAAATAATTTTAAAAACAAATCACCCGAAAATTCTTCAATGTCATTTTGTATTGACTTGCTGGTGAGAAGTATACGGTCGGTGTCGGCCAGGTCGTTGATCTCAAATTGGGTTTTGAGCTGTGGCGTTGCCTGTTGAGGGGGCGCACATTGGGCCTGTGCAAGACGTGATGACATGTTTTGTAAAAAGAGTTTCTTGGTTTTTCGACTATTGAGTTAAGCCGGCACGAAAACTACTACACATACCTCCGTTTGGTCGCCGACCCGTTTTGCTAAGGCTGATTCAACTCGGGTCGCCATCTCCACCGCCAGCTTTAGATTGTTGGTCGGGATCGACATCATGTCGCTGTAGATTGACGATATTTAGTCGGAATACGGTCCAACGACAGGGCAGATGGTATTCGGAGTGACGACGATCATTTCCGTAGTTTTAAAAACCGTTACGAACAAGAGTGATATCGTGAGGAACCTAAAAAAAAATGTATTAAACTACATTAACTAATTTCAACATACTTCATGTCGTTTTCAAATTACGATATTGCGATAACAAGACACTGCAACAAGCCGAAAAGAAAAACATAAAAGATAGAATACCAATTATTTCGAAACGTTTTGTGTACAATGTACATACAATAAAAATGAAACAAACACGTCCACCAGTGTTACCATTCCCGCGGTATTTTAACTTCTGTTCTGTGAAAAAACGGTTTTTCGGAGCTGTTCGGCCTTAGCCCTTAGGACTATATTATATCTTGTAATTTTTTAAAAGGGCGCCAATAATAATTATTTACTATTATTTGTACACAATCCCACACCCATTAAATGTATTATAGTATTTTATTGTTGGACGAAAAAGTTCCGTATCACTATAATTATTATCGCAATATCTAATCAATTTATTTTTTTATTGATCAACATTCAACAATATTGGTTATCTATATATAAGAAATGAAGTCATATTTTATATTATTAGTTTAAAAGTTCTATAGATAACCGTCGAAAAACCCACATTTAACTCTAATTATGAGGTCACTGACCCTCAGAGATACGTCTAGAGGACAGGTAGGCAATCATTGATATCGAACCATCGTGGAACATACGACATACATTACATAATATTATAGTACCTATTGTCTAGTAATTACGTTTTTTATTGGTCGCTGGATTTAACATACGAAATATTAATATTAAACGTTTAAAGGAATGGTCGGTACGTTGCATATAATAAGGACAAGCAGTAAAATGGCGAATTTGAATTTGTTCGGAGGCAAGTCCTAATAATATGTGCCACCCGGTACCCACTCTTCAATATAGGCGCAATAAAGGTATTTAGTACTATTAATATCAATTATTATCATATTTTAACCATCTATCGTAGTCAACACTAAAACAGTTGATGTTTTACTCATTGTGGTCGCCCCACCTCACCGATAGAAAACTCGGAGACGGCCGCCTCACTATTAGCCCCTTCGTCTCGCATCTGCCCCCATACCCACATTCCCACAACACATCACGGCCCCACACGACAATTATTCTGTGACAATCGTAGCTGCAGCTGTTRCTGCTGTCGTCGTCGGATTTCGGGGGGTAGTTTTTTTCCTCATATAGTTTTTTTTCTTCGCGATCAGTTATAATTTCACATAATACCTAATACATATGCTATAAATGCTTGATATTAAATTATTATTTGAGACTGGATGTATAGTTATATGTATACAATATACATATTATATTCCCTACACTGCTTCAAGCCTTAATATAAGTTAATGTGTCACAGTTACTGTGATGAAGTATGAAGTCGATATAAT